GACTACATCAATGGCGTTATTGATTTAGGTTAGTTACCGTTTCTTTAATTATAACTGCAGCACCATGGTATAAAGATACTAACGGGATTTTTTGAGGGGGGAGGGGAGGGAATAATTTGAACTAACTTGGTTACATATTCTTGGTTATAATAATGCATAATGTAAACCACACAACTACCGAAGGCCAGAGCAATATTTAACTTTCACACAGGTTACTATCTGGGTATTGTAATATTATTGTATACTTAATACAGCTGTAAACTTGCATATATATTAACTATAGACTTCACACATGTACTATATATCATACATACGTATACATTAAAGTACTCTTATATGTCATTACATACTGGGCAGTTGCCTTGAGGAACCATGTCAATCTGTATTTTGTGACTAAGTTATGCATTGCCCGGGGACCTGTAATGCTGTTAAGGCGACCTTATTTATACCTGTATATCGGTGCATGTAAAGCGATGCATACGTGTACACTGATGCACGCTAACGTATTGACGTATGGCACTCCTACTCCTCTTACTCCTCTTAGACAACGTGCCATACATCTGGACGAGCGGGACGAAAGTGGGCAACGGCTGGCGGTGGAACGGGCCAGGGGCAGGGGCCTTTCAGGGACTCAACTGGAGCAGCACAGGAGGGTAAGGGTCGGAGACGCTTTTTAGTCGAGCTAAAATCTAGGTGGTATTGTTTAATTTTAGGTTATTTTAAGATCATAGGATAGTGGTGTAAATTTAATATTTCTATTGGGATTGATATTAGTGGTGGTATTATTTTAATATTAGGTTTGCTATTAGCGTCACACTTTTCTTGGCAATTTCTGTTAAATGTTCTCGGTTATTCGCTCTTTTTTTGTAAATTCTCTTATTAATTCGCATTTTTTTTTTACTTCCGTTTCATCCCATTTCTCTTTCGTATCTTCCCTTTTGTCTTTATGATCATACGTAGTTATTCAACAATAGAAATTAATGAGTTTAGAAAAACATCCACCCGTGAAGTATCGTTTCTACGCAACAAATTAAATTTGGAAAAAGCGCGGGAAACCACGATGACGTTGCAAACAGTCCATCTCCTTGGGCCTGTCCGTTTTATTTATTCACCATTTCACTGTATCTAGATAGAATTCTACATTTCGTTCATTCACTTAATCACTGTCATGTATTCATTCATTCATCCATTTCTTTCTTTCCCTCATTGACTTGTATATCCATTTACTCTTTCATCCCTGTCTTTAATGTAAGCATTAGTAGCTTCCTTTTCAATGTCTGTCACCTTAGCAGATTAAGTTAGTAGTAGTTATGACTAATGTAATGGTGTCAATATTTGTAGGAAAAGAAAACTATTTGGAAAAAAAATCAATTTATTTCCCAATTTATTAATATGCGAGAGGTAAGTATCTTCAGGTACCGTAGGTGAGACCAAATCCAGTTTAATTGGAAGTCCTAAGTTTCATATTGCTCCATGGCTCCCAGCTTGGGGATCTCTGATATAAATGTTATGGCTCAAACTAATTGAATTCCAGTCTACCATAAACTCGTTCTGCTGCATCGTAGCCTTTTCTCTACTGTCATCGTCGGTGAAGCAAAATTCGCGGTAAACAGATCTGAAAAAAATATAATTAGTCTATTCAGCGTCAGATACATTATCGGCCAATCGCCTACTGTGACGTCATCAAAGATTCCCGAGTTTTTCCTGGGGTTAGATTTGACTCGGCGGCCGGGCACACGCGAAGGGCGATCTCTGTCAAAACTACTAACCTTGTTATCATTTTCTCCTTATTTTGAGGCGTATTGTTGAATCATAAAAAGGAATAGATTTTGGCAAAACAAAATTAGAACTGGCCATTAACCTAAACATCTTATTCTTTACTTCTGTTATTCACTTCTTTGCCATTATTTTCATCATGTTTCACCTTTTCTTCTATCATTTTCATTATCATATCTCCTCTTTTCTATACACTTCACTTTTCAAAATATTTCTCCTCTCTTCTGCATTGTTTTTATCATCCTCTCATTTTCATCCAACACTAATATCTGCATCATTTGCATCTTCCCTACTATTATCTTCATCATTTTCATCTTTATCATCTCGTCTCCACCATTTATTGCTACCATGCCTGTCCTCTCCCCTCCTCCACCATTATTTATCACGTTTCTCCTCACTTCTCTACCATTCAACTATCACTATCTTTCTCTCCACCATTTCCTATTAACAGCATTTTGTTCATCCACGCATTTCTCCTCCGCCAGCTTGGGAATCGGTCAACCCGACAACAGATTTGGAGATGAAAACTGCCTTGGAATTCTCAATCGTTTTTACATAAACGACGGTATCACATGGCACGACATCGCCTGCTTCCACCTCAAGCCCGTGGCGTGTGAGCGGCGCCTTTAGCTGAAAACCTTGAGTTGGAGTTGTCAAAATTACTCATTCTTACTGTGGTAATTGCTTTTTGCAAGGTTTACGAATATTGGTAGATTTTACCGAGTTAGCCGTGTAGGATTTATCGAAGATGGTAATTCTTGCCTGAAGTCGGTCGCCTTTGGTTTTGAAATCGCAAAACTGGCTATCGGTGCAGTGATCAACTTGCATCTGGTAGTCGGTTTTAAGAAATGTATTATATTCATGAACTGTGACAATATTGAATGTTTGCTTTGGACATTAAAATAAAGTTATCGACTTTATTTTTATGAAGTCAGTGATTTTTCTTCATTATAGTGTCATGTGTTACATAAATCATTCAGTAAGATTTGAGTATTTTAATTATCCCTTACATATGCAAAAAGAGAGAACGCTTTTCCTCACCTGTAGTTCAGAAAAAAGTTGAGATTCAAATATCAGATAAAAATAATGGACTACCCTAAATCAGTGCTTCTTAACCTTTTTACTCCCACTCCTCCCCCCCAATCCCTTGCCCGTTGTTGTCGTGGGGGGGCTTAGGAGGCGGAGACTGGGACCCAATGATGGGGAACTCCCCAACCTTGGGACTCAGCCCTCGACTCAACTAATTATGCATGGTCTTTTTTTTTTCCCTTCCCACTTTTGTTTCTGTCCCTTCACCAAACCCTTCTGCTATCCACCTCCTAAGGTGTGAGAGCCGTGCTGAAAGGATGAAAGGCTGACTTTGTGCCAGTCCTGAACGGCCTGAGGGAGCCATGGGCACGGTATTCCCCTGATTTAGTTATCTAGCCCTTACCCCTCAAGGGGACCCTGAGGGGTGGACTGCTTTTATCCCCAACATAATCCAGGCTTCCCATGGCCAATAATGAAAATATATCCCCACTGTTAGGGGCAATGAGGCTTGCCCCTTTATCAAATAGCCCCAACGAAGTAAACCCACCCGATTCCCCGACCCCAGGCTCTCCTTTGACCACGGCTCCAAACACTGCAATAACTACCCCTTCACCAATGCCTACTAGTACAGTAGCCAACAATCAACCCTCAAGGGACATTTCCACTCTCCCAGCATGCCCAACTTCAACACCTCTACCCCCACAACCTCCAACATCAACCACCCCATCCTCCCTTATTAATACCTTACAGCCTTATAGCCCACCTCTCCATAACACTACCTCCATCAACACTACTCCATCTTCGTCACGCCCTCGCCCTTCTACCACCCCTATCTCTAAAACAATCTTGAATACTCTCTTCAGTGCAGCCAAATGGGACCGATTTTTCGTGATCCCTCCCACAGCTCCCTACTCTAACAACACCCTTCTCTTCCAACAATGCCTCCAAAAACAAGTAGGTAAAGTCTCTTTCCGTAGCCGACCCGACCGCTCCCGTCTTGTAACAGTAACATCCGAAAACCAAGCCATAGCACTAACAAAACTAACTGACCTATATGGTAACCCCATCCTAGCAGAACCCCATCCAACCCTCAATACTTGCACCGGAACAGTCTCAATCTCACCAACAAATTGTCCAATCTATGACAAAGAATGGTCAGATTGTGGAGAAGATCTACTTGCCTGTCTCACAGACTACGATGCAACATCAGTACAATGCTATTCCATCCCCCCCAGAGGTCATCGAAAGAAACCCACTAACATAGCCAAAATTACCTTCCGTAGACATGACCTTCCCTTTAACGTCTACATAGGAGGAGAATCCCTCCCTGTTCGTCCATACCAACCTCCTCCACGTCAGTGCCAAAATTGTTGGCGTCTAGGACACCCAGCCAAACACTGCCGTTCCACAGCCAGATGCCCATTATGTGCCCAACCTGGCCATACCCGATCTAACTGCTCTGCACAATCACGCACATGTGCCAACTGTGGCGGCCCCCATAATGTATTTTATAGGGGCTGTCCCACCTACAAATTTGAATCTGAGGTAGCAACTCTCAGATTCAAACTCGGACTCACACTGCGTGAAGCCAGACAGGAAGCACGTCGACGTGGATTCTCTCTTACTCCTTACTCCAGTAATACTGCTCATCCTAACACTTCTCCTAAACCCACCCCTCCTACATCTAACCCCCCCACTAACCCCACCTACCTTCCCCAGTCAAACTCTTTTGCCATCCTAAATCCAGAAACTCCAATCTCTACTACAGATACTCCAATCACCACTACAACCCCAACACCTTCCCCTCTCCCTCCTCGCACTCCCCGTAACAGACAGAACAAACGTTCCACCCCCTCTTCCCCTACCACACAATCACCCCCACCATCCTTTGCCCGTACTCTTGAGACACCAGTCCTCTCTTCCCCCCCTCACAAGAAATCCTTTATCCCCCAAAACTCCCCAACCAACTCCACAGAAGAAACTATTGAAAATATTCAAGATTACTTAATGAAAACCGACACTCAACCTACAACTCCTGCTCCTTCCACACTCCAAGTAATTGCTGATATCCATCCTCCTCCTAACGATATCCCCCCTACACCCTACCCTCCTACCCCCTCCCAACACAGCCCATCCCCCCTGACCCTGCCCACATTAACTCTCCCACCATCCCCTCTATCCCTTCCACTCCCTCCTGGATACACACGTGAATCCCTTATGTCACAAGTATCCCCTTCCTCAGACCCTCCATCTCCTACTACCCCTCCTGATAGAACACCAACTCCCACACCTCTCCCATCTCAAACCTCTCAGTCCTTATCCCACCCTCTAGCTGCTTCCCCTTCAAATTCTCCAACACGTACTACAATCTATATCACTAAATCAACGAAAGTATAACTATCCTTCTTTGGAATATTCGCGGTTTCCGCTCCCACAGACCTGACCATCATATCCTTTCCTCTTATAACCCATCTATTGTATGCCTTCAAGAAACCTTTCTTATGCATATCCTTTATCTAATATAACACCCGACCTTAACCCTTTCACTCACTAATTCCTTTGCCCAGCTTAGACAACTAATCACTAACTCAACCACCCTTCACTAACATTAACTATAGTGCTACATGACCTTAGAAGTCTAGCACATTTATCTTGCTTTTAACCATTAACCATTACTCCCACTCCTTCTTTTGGAATTGGTTCTTCTTCCACATAAAATAGTTCATCATAATGCTATATGACCTTTAACCTCTTGCGCATTTGTTTTAACCATTAAGCATTCCTTCCGCATCCCCTACATGTTTAGAATTCCCTATCCTTGGTTTCGCGGGATAGGATGCGAGTTAACTAAGTAAGGACAGAAAAGATCTAATATGCTAAGATCTAATGTGCCTGACGAGCACTCGCTTAATGCCGTTGCTGATGTATAACTGACGAGCCCATGATCGAGTGAAATCAGCAGGTAGTGCCGTCTTTGGTATTTTGTTCGTCCGTTATAAAATTGTGTAGTTTGACTGTATATGTGAACTATCAAATTAATTAGGTTCACAATCAAAAGAAGTATGAGAAAACCAGGTTTCTCTTGTATCTTGTCTTCTGTGCTTCCTCGGTTTTGAATTTGTTCCTGTACAGCCTATACAATGAAAGTACTTGTGGAAATTGCAACATTATGATAAATATTGCAGGTAAAGTTAAGATATGGTTACAGTAAAGGCAATTACAATAACAAAACACGAAAAATAGTCAAAACAACCAGTGGTTGGTGATACTAGACGACCAACCACCTGCCTTTTGCATGGTCTTTTCTTCTCCCCATTTCCTTTCCTTCTCTTCTATATCATCGCCTTCTCCTGTCCACTTCCAAAAGTTTGAGAGCCGTACTGGAAGGATGAAAGGCTGGCTTTGTGTCTGTCATGAACGGCCTCCGAGAGCCATGAGCTCGGTATTCCCTTGGTTAATTGTCCAGCCCTTACCTCTCATGGAGACCCTGAGGGGTAGACCGTTTCCTCTCTCCATTCATTTCAGGCTTACCATGGCCAATGGCGATGTCTTACCCTTATTAGGGGCATTAAGGCTTGTCCCTTCATTACCTAGCCTATCTAAATATGATTTCTCGACCCCTACCTCTCCTTTGACCACGGCTCCGACTGATAATACCCCCTCCTACTATCAACTCTAACTACTCTGAGTTCTCCACCCAGAATACACCCCTTCCTCTCTCCCAACATCTTCCACTCCATCTTCTACTGCACAGTCTTCTTCATTGTCTATCCCCACCTCCCTTATTACTACTATTCATTCTTACTGTCCTCCAGCCAACAGTACTACCTCTCTCCATCGGGAAATATAGGCAGTTTTGTTTGCTGTAGAGAAGATTCTAAGTAAGGGAACACGCGGAAAAGATTTCTGCTGCGGAGAAAAATAGAAAAGCAAAACTGAAGATAGAAAGGAGAAGCAAGGTATATAAACAACTCAGAGCTATACAGAGAGAAAGAGAGAGAGATACATGGAGGAAGAAAGAGAGAGACATAGAGAAAGAGAGAGAGAGACATAGAGAAAGAGAGAGAGACACATAGAGAAAGAGAGAGAGACATGGAGAGAGAAAGAGAGAGAAAGACATGGAGAGAGAAAGAGAGAGAGAGACATAGAGAAAGAGAGAGAGACACATAGAGAAAGAGAGAGAGACATGGAGAGAGAAAGAGAGAGAAAGACATGGAGAGAGAAAGAGAGAGAGAGACATGGAGAGAGAAAGAGAGAGAGAGACATGGAGAGAGAAAGAGAGAGATGCATGGAGAGAGAGATGCATGGAGAGAGAGATGCATGGAGAGAGAGATGCATGGAGAGAGGCATAGAGAAAGAAAGAGAGGCATAGAGAAAGAAAGAGAGACATAGAGAAAGAAAGAGAGACATAGAGAAAGAAAGAGACACATAGAGAAAGAAAGAGACACATAGAGAAAGAAAGACACTTAGAGAAAGAAAGAGACACTTAGAGAAAGAAAGACCTGACCGCTCCCGTCTCGTCACAGTAACCTTTGAATCCCAAGCTATAGCCTTAACAAAACTAACTGATCTCTATGGTAACCCCATCCTTGCAGAACCCCATCCAACCCTCAATACCGGAACTGTTTCAATCTCCCCAGCAAATTGCCCAGTCTATGACAAGATTGGTCAGATTGTGGAGAAGACTTACTCGCC